CAAGAAAGAATTAGTAATGTGTATATCACTCAGTACATTGAACCCATTGGTTTCTTCCTTATTAGTGTTTAAATAGAATATGAATAGTTTAAATAGAATACAAAATGACAAGTTATGTAACACTGACTTATATTCAGTTTCCCATGAGTGGTTAGTTCACCATTCTTATGGTGTCAGGCCACCAAATTTCTGGTGCCACAAACCTAATCTTTCCTTGATGGTCATTAAAGACTTCTTAGAAGCTAAGGCTAACCCTTATATGCTACCATCTTCCAAAAAAAGGAGATAGTTCCAGAAGGTGTGTGTCAGTCATAGAGGCCAAATGCATTTATCCATATATTTAATTTAGGCCAAATAATTCTGTGGTACTCTAAAAGTAAACTGTGGTTTGAATTTTATTCTGGGAAGAGCACTACCATAATGCCAGTGGAGTATAGGTCTGTTCCCTGCTATTGGCTTAGATAGCCAAGAGTTAACTACCTTTAAAATAAAATGGTATCCCTTTAAATTTAAAATGAATTAGACCATGGCAGTTCCCTTGGCCCAAGGATAAATGCCATGGAAATGAAAGAAAATAGTTCTAATGTCATAAAACAGCAAAGGTCAGATAGGGTGAGATGATTACTTTCATCATTATTAGCATTACTTTGCATTTAGATAGCCCCTCTCCTTTGCCAGACTCATTCTCATTCTATCCCATTGCTTAGTATCTGAGCAGCTTGTGGAGCTCCTGATGATATCAAGGGTGATCCTGATGTGGAAGAGAAGCCACAAGTCAAGAGGGGAGTGAGCAATTAACCTTTATGCTTTATTTGCTCATTCTGGTCTTCTTCTGCAAACAACCTGCAAAAGTGGGCTCACTTGAAAATAATATCCATATAAACTTAAAGCCTCTCCTGGGACTTTGGAGTTATCTGGATCTTAGATTTTTTTAAATACAGATTTTATATTGCAATAAATAAATTGCACACACACATGCACGTGTGTGTGTGTGTGTGTGTGTGTGTGTGTGTGTGTGTGTGTATGCATGTGCGTGTGCATTTGGTAAGTCTGGGTATTTGCTGTCTAAGTGGAACAGTACTAAAAGTGATAACATGTATAAGGTCATATACAAATTAAAAATAAGAGGTTTAATTCTCCCTGTTTAAAATAAGGGAAGGAACTTCTCCCTCCCTTTTCTTAAACCATTTACATCAGACAACTTATAATTCTAAATACTTTCGCCTTTCCTTGAATCCTAGGAAGACTAGAAAGGCCTCTGTCAGCTTTATGACCTGAGAATCTTTTTCAAGGATCTGGGAACCATCTTTTGAAAATATAAACATCCAGGAAAATAACACTCCTACCTCACAGTTTCTATAGGAGTGCGAGATCCTAACCCAAGAGGAAGCATGGCTCAAAATTACAAAAGTACTTCCTTTTGGGAAGATACAAGTTTACTTTTCCTCTAGATAAAGCCAATATGCTAACACAGATGGTCATCCCAACCACCAGGTATATTTAGAATGAACTATATGTGACAAGTGGTGCTGTCAAGCCCTCTTATTTGAGGACTAGTTATGGTTTATCTTGAAAATATATGTAATGGGTTGCATCTGCTTGGCTATATAAAAGACCAAGATTTCTCTCTGTGCAATCTCTTGATGGATTGCTTGCAATGAGCATCACATTCTGGTTAATGCTTGCTCAATGATAAGTGTTTTCATCTCTACTGTCTTGCAGAGAGCATTTTCTGGATTGGGGGAAGATTTTATTTTTAATTTTATTTCCTAACACAGACCTGTGCTTTTAATTAGAATAATGGACTAAAGAAACTAATAGTATATACTATGTCAGTTGCTTTTAACCATGAATGCATATTAGACTCATCTGCAGGGTTTAAAATACAGACAGATTCCCAGCACCACAATCAGAGATTTGGACACTATATTTGGTGTAAAACAGTAGAGTAAACACTTTTGGGCTAAAACACTTTTAATAACCATCCCAGGTAATTTTGATGCAGGTGGTCAGTGGGCACCACTGTAATTGAATGTTTTAACATCATTTTTAAATGTACTGTATTTCCCTATGCTGTCCTACTCACTTCCTGGCTCATTTACATCTTTTGTTTACAAGTATCTAAGTACAACATCAGATGGATCCTCTCTGCCTGGAAATCTTTTTACCTTTTGGCCTTCTTTTCATGCATAACAGGGTAAGGCTTGACCACTTTCCCCAGGTCCTGACCTCACTCTCTGGGCCCTCACTCTCCTGAAGGCCTCTGCCTTCCACATCACAATTAGTATTCTTCAACTTCCCTGCCCATGTCTTTTATTTTTCCTTCTCTCCTAAATCAAAGAAACAATTACCAGTTTCCCAATGTCAACTCCTGCACCTGTATCTTTTCTCTTTTCCATATTTTCTTTCCTCATTACATCAATTATTTTCTTATTGGTAATCCTGATCTCTGAATACTTTCCCTTTACTCGTGTATACTAAATTGCTTCTAGCCCTCTAATCCCTAAATCCTAAACTGCTGGCTCAGGCCACTCCTCTCTTTCCTTCACCACCAATGTTACCTAATTAGAGTAGTCTATTTTCCTACCTTTCAGTTTCCTGTTTCCCGCTCATTACTCACTCACTGCACAGGGTATCTACTCAGATACCACACAGTTATCTTTGGGAGCAACCTCTGTCCTCAGACCCAGGTCCATATTTTCTACTATTGGATAGAAGCTGTCATTATAAATTCTAGAAGCTCCTCAAACTCATTATTTCCCAGACTAAACTTCCTTTCTAAAACATGCAAATGCCCTAAACTTTTGGTGTCAGCAGTATCAACATGCAGTTATCCAAGTTCATAACATCATCTAAGACATCATCATCATCTTCTCTTTCACCTCCCCAATTGAACCAGTTCTCAAACTCTGTTGAGTCCAACACAAAAATATCTCTTAAGAGCTGTCTCCTGCTGCTGTTCCCACTGACACTGCCATCGTGACATTTCTCTCTGCCTCTAGTTTCTTCCAACTTGATTCTATCTTTTGCTTCTCCCAAGGTTGGCTTTCTAAAACAAAACATGACCATGTAAGATCCTTAAAAAAATGTGTTTAAAAGGACTTAATGTGTCTTCATCACCAAGAAAATAAAGACAAAATACTGTCCACAAATAACGCACAAAGTCTTCTTGTCCAAACAACTGAACCTGAATTTACTCATCTCTAGCTGTAATTAGTTTATAGGCTATACGGAAAAAGGGGAGAATGTTAAATAACAAACACATTGAAGCTGCATCAACCAGATCCAAAGTCAGAATTCCACATTACTTGAAGAGATAAGCAGCATTTTAGAAAAGCAAGTGACAGAGAGAGACTGTTATCAATTAAAATAGACTAAAGACACATGTCAACAAATACACTGTGTGGATGTTTTAAAGGCAACTTAGCTGAGTATTAGATGATATGTTAAGGGATTATCGTTAAGTTTATTAGACATATACAAAAGGGTGAAGATTTTGTTTGAGTTCCTTTCCAACACATATACATTCTGAAACATGAATAATGAATTCACTTTAAAATATTCCAGGGATGGGAATGGTAAGAAAGAGAGAGAGATGAAGCAAAATTTATGTGTTGATAATTGATGAAATTGGATGATCAGTACAATTACTTGTTTTACTAATCTTTACTTTTGTATATGTTTGAATTTTCCATTACAAAAAAAACATTTTTTAAAAAACCCTCCTGCATGGTACTCAAAATCACTAACAACCCTGCCTTAGAATACCTTGCCAGACTTACCTTCCGATATTCCCCACCCTGAACTCCAGGTCGTTCTTAACCTGCCAAGCACTTGCATACTAAGTCTGGGCTCCTGAAGACATTCCTGCACACTCTGGCTCTTATTCGAGAGCAATCCAGATTACCTCTCTTCATAAAAATTAGAAATCCCGGGGCGCCTGGGTGGCTTGGTCGGTTAAGCATCCGACTTCGGCTCAGGTCATGATCTCACGGTCGTCCGTGAGTTCGAGCCCCGCGTCGGGCTCTGTGCTGACCGCTCAGAGCCTGGAGCCTGTTTCAGATTCTGTGTCTCCCTCTCTCTCTGCCCCTCCCCTGTTCATGCTCTGTCTCTCTCTGTCTCAAAAATAAATAAATGTTAAAAAAATTAAAAAAAAAATTAGAAATCCCATGCCAACTACATAACTACCTACTGATTGCTCTATCCAAGTATGCTGTTGCTCAGGCATGCTCTGAACACAGGAGTACTGGCAGGTTTGAGAAACATAAAACATGACAGAAAGCATTTCAATTTGCATGGCAAACTTGGAAAAGTGATTTCAGACTCTCTAGTCTTTATTTTGTAAGTGTTTAACTGTGATTCTCTAACTTTAGCTGATATAAAAATGATGAATACTTAAATGAAACACTGATAATTCAGTAAGTAATCTTCTCACTGAGTGTAGATTTTAGAAACCTGTGGGACGTGTCCATCAATATAGTCAAAAATCTCATATCTGTCACAATGTTGATGGTTGCTGTGTTATGCATACTGAAGTTGGCCTGCGTATTTTGGTAATGACCGTCATTGCACTGAAATAATATTTTTGAGTAATGTACTATATTTCAGATTTTCTTAAGTATTATTCCTAAGTAAATCTATTAGCATATAAGGGCAGTTTTGAAAGTCTGAATTAACTTACAAGGAAGAAAAAGGCATCAATTAGGCAAATTTTGATGAAATTAGCCTCTCCCGATTCTATCACCCAATAACCAGTATTTTTCACATTTGTGAGCAGCCATTATAATAATATTAACTATGATGAACACTTTGTATGTTAATGTGGATATAAATTACAACTCCAGAAAAATGTCTTTTGTCATTTGCCATTTGTTAATATCCACTTAATGTAGATGGATATCCACCCCCCTCCATTTTCCATATGTATTTAAGGGCCTTACTATTCAAATATAATCACTCTTTCAAGATATAATTAGAGAAAAGATTAGGTTCAGACTTACCAGGAAATCTACTGTGGAGGTTGGCGTCACAGTTGTAGCCATTAAACTGAGCAGACCCCAGAAGCACTCTACTTGTTAGAAGCAACAGCAACCATATTCGTTCCATTGCAAAACCTGGAAAAGAGTTATTTATCATGTGGACATCATCAGCCTTCACTCTTACTTACTGAAAAGATTGAGTCTGATATGAGCTCACTGTTGGATAGGCTGGCAGTCTATATACGTACAGGCAAAGCTCATTTAGGGACTAAGGATTCTAGAAATAATTATAGGCAACAATGCAGAAATTTTGGTTACAATATTTGAAAATTATTTCCACTCTTTGGCGTCAGTTTGCTAAGGGTGACAAATCCAGGCTTTTGTAGTGAAAGAACGAAGATATATAATAGTCATAAAGTTTAAAAAAGAAAATGCATTATAAATAGGAAGAAGTCAAACCAAATATTTCACAGATTAGAACAGTGTACTTAGACAACCAATAAATGTAGAGACAACTCTATACTTTAAAACACCAATATTCATGAAGTAAAAGGGATTCAACACTCAGTACTTGATTCTCAGAGGATTCTCAATATTCTTAATGACTAAATAATGTCAGGAAAAATTTCCCCTCAACAAAGGATTCCAGACTAATGCTACTTCTCAAAATCAGTGGTTTGTGTATCTTTTTTTTTTTTTTTTAATTCAGGAAACACAGGACTAAAGCAAAAGGAAGAACAGAAAAATACTATGTGTAGACTGACATCATGAATCCAATGACCCTTCATTTGTGAATAAATAGGACTAATACATATAAATGAACACCTTGAATTCCTAGGAGAAAGTAATGGAAAGTGATTTTTTAAGTTGTCATTGTGTGTTGAACAAATAAATATAAATTGACTTTGAAAATTAAATACCAGTCAGTCTGGTGTTTAATATTTTATCCCCTGGATACCCTTTTTTGGCCAGATAAAGTGAAACCATCTTCCAGAAGCACCCAACTTATTCTCAGAGCATAGTTTGTGCACTGAAAAAAAAATCTTTTGGGTTGGTGGTTTTGGTCTGTGTGTGAAAAGCAAAAAGAAAATAAAATTGTAAATGGTTTACTCAAATAATTTAGTGCATTTTAAAAGCTTGGGGTTTGGGGAAGGGGTTATGGTATTTTAGCTGCCCTTAAAGATCTTCCCTTACATGATTAATCAAGTGTTTAGCAAAAGGAAGGAAATACATCTTGCTTTTGAGCCATCATTTTAGTATAACAAGTTTATGGTGAACAAAGTCACTTTGGTAAGGATGTGGGAAAGGAAGGCATGAGTTTACTCTTAAAAATAGACTGAAAAATATTAATTCAACAGGAACTTCCTTCCTTCAGCATTATAACATGCTACTCTGGCACGAACCTCATGACTTTTGGGAGAACAGCCACATGTCTAGTTGTTTCTGATTCTCTAGGACATTCAGTAAACAAAAAGTTCACACAAATATCTGATCCAGGCTCTCTTGGCCACATTTGCACCATGTCATCATCTAGCTCCTCAAGACACCTCAAATAAACAAGAAAGCCTTGATCTCTTGGAGATTTTGGAATACTGGTAGGAAAGAGAGCAGCTTGTTTCTGAGCAGTACATCCCACCACACACACACCTAGTAGATGCTCCGCCATACCCTTCTCATGCTGGGTCCCACTGATTCCCATGAGGCATTGGAGACTCTAGACTCACATCATTGTCTTCCAAGCTAGAAATACCTTCCATGCATAGTGATTCACAGAGTGGGGAATTTTCACTGATGAGTTATTTTTATTCTGAAACGCCGTGTAGCTTTTATATTCTTCCACAGGAGGAAAAAAAAAAAACACTTACTGAGAGGACACTATGCACAAAGAAGGCACTGTGTGCCAGGTCACTTGCCTATTGTCCTCCATTCATATTGGATGAGATTGGAATTATTACTCCATGTACAGAGAAAGATGAATAAGTCTCAGGGAGGTTAAGTGCCATGGAAAACAATTGGGGAACCCAGAATTCAACAGGTATTTCTGCTAACATTTGCTATACACACTACCTAAATATCATCTGTTATTTTTTAAAAAAAGGTGTTATTTTGGCTGATATTTATCATCAGTTTCTTTTCTTTAAATTTATGAAGTGATAGATCTTTAATAGATATTTTCATCTGAAAATGGATAAGCAAATTCTTATGTAGTGAATGCAACCTGCTTAAAAGATGTATTTTATAGTGTGGGCATTAAGAGGGAGAAAATCATTTCTTTTCAAAAAAATGGAGAAAAGACCCTGATTGTGAAAACTGTGAGAATTATCATTATAAACTAAACTGGACACATCTAGGTTTACCAAAAATGGATGAGAAACCCGTGCTATTTGAAGCAACCTACTAACAGTGGTGGCAAAGTCTTAGCTTTATAAAGTTAGATCAGATTTGAGGCTGTTCAAAAGTGGCATGCTTCCCTCCCTTACACTTTGAACAGGACTCACAGAACTGTCGTGAAGATTAAAACCCTTGATAAATACTTTTTGATGAAAAGAAGACAGAGGTAGACAGCATCTTATTTCAACAAAATATACACTGATTTTGATATCAGCAGACATGGATTCAATCCTCCCTCAGTCATTCTGTAGATTTTTCGTTTGAAAATCAAGATGATGATCACAAGACTATAAACTGTAAGTGCATAAAAAACATAGCACAGTCTGGACATACAGAAGACACTGAAATATCAGCTTCAGGGTCACCATGTATTGATGTGCAAGTTGTCCCCTGCACAAATACACCCAATAAGAGGGATAGTGACAGGGCTTGTGCTCCCTTGGCTAAGACACATGCTCTGGAACTAGATGGCTCAACACAAAGGTGTCCTATGGGCTAGTAACAGCTCTGATTAGTTGAATCACATTATAATATCATTTGTACTGATCAGTGTGTCAATATTAAGGTACATTAAGCAGGAGATTTTTAAAGGACACCCACATCTCTTGTGTAGGCAGTATCCACATTTTGATCCCTGTAACAGTGGCAGAGATTATGGCATTTTCAAGACTGTATTTATATTCCACCTGCAAGTTAAAACAAAATGATGAACTATTAACTTGTACACTTCCCACCTTCGAACCTATCTCATCATTTTCTCTGCACACAGAAACCCTAAACATCAATGCACAGAGGCAAGCTTGAAAATGCTATCTTGCCGTAGCTCCTAAAGTTCTTTTCTGAAATGGGATTGCCTGGGATTTGGACTATTTTGAGACTCTTTACATTCATTAAAGCATAAGGTCCTGTTTGCTCAGTCTCCCTAGCTCCTAGGCGAGTATAATTCTAGACATGTGTATCCAGTCCTGGTCTGGCTAAAAAAGTTCAGTTGAGTTTCATGTCACAAGGTAGAACTTAATTTCTATCATCCACTCTTGTGTGACGTGCAGTGGCTGCTGTCCCATTGTGGCTCCAGCAAACTGGAGCTTGAGCAAAGGCATTTCCCATCTTTTCCATCATAACTAGGTGCAGCAACCAACACCCCAGTGACTGGTGCTAACTGTGGTGTGAAAGACTGCCTAACACAGCCAATATTACAAAACATTAATAGCAACTTCGTAGATAATAAAAACCTTGATGATTAGTGAGCACAAGCTTCATGCACGTGCTTCTTAGCTTTGTATCTTTATGAATTTAAATTGATGGGGATAGAGGAGAGAGAGGACAACCATATGCACAACATTGAATTTTAAGGAATTCAGATGTATTAATTTTATTTTTATTTTCATTTTTTTCCAACGTTTATTTATTTTTGGGACAGAGAGAGACAGAGCATGAACGGGGGAGGGGCAGAGAGAGAGGGAGACACAGAATCGGAAACAGGCTCCAGGCTCTGAGCCATCAGCCCAGGGCCCGACGCGGGGCTCGAACTCACGGACCGCGAGATCGTGACCTGGCTGAAGTCGGCCGCTTAACCGACTGCGCCACCCAGGCGCCCCTAGATGTATTAATTTTAAAAAGAGACACTTGCATCTCTTAAATTAGTGTAACAGGCTCTGTATTTCATACTTAGCAATACAAAGGAAATCATGGGCTAAGTGATTTTCTCTTAAATATGTCAATATTTCTCATGTTAAATTTTCTTTTTAAAATGACCACTTTTAAAATACAAATTCTGATTTATTTGCATAAGATTGAGCATGAGTCAGAAAATGTAGTTTCATTGTCAATTTTCACTCAATTTTGTATAAATTGATATAGTTCTGTCATAAACACTGTTCTCTAATTTTATACACCTGATTCTTTTTTTTTTTTTTTGACCTTCCTTTTATTGAGATCTGCTACGTCCCAGGCACTGTTTTTTGCTTAATATTCAACTATTAACATAGATTTATTTTTTACTCATGTTACAAATGTGGGAACTAAAGCCTAAAGTTTTTTATTAACTTGCTCAGGGTCACAGATCTAGTAAATGACAGAGTAGAATTCAAAACAAACTTGACCTTTGGAATTATTACACTATTCTGTTTGCCTTAATTGGAGTTTGTCAAATAAATAAAACTAATATCCTGATAATTTTCAGAAAGTAAATTACATTAATAATGTATGCTTAACATATGCTTGAAACCGAATCTTATGATTGAGGCAAAATATTTTTAACATCTACATAATTGTCATGACTATTTCACATAGGCAATGAGTATATAAAGAATATTCTTTTCACAAATTGTCTTAATGATAGTACTAGTGAGTTTTAAGGATATACAGTGTTCCAGATTGGGTTTTTTAAAGTGCTTTATACAATTATCTAACTATGAGATAGGTGATTTATTCATCTTATTATGGGGATGAGAAATGTGAAGTAATTTGCCCAAGGTTAAACAGATAACCAGTGTTAAAATCAAGATTCAATGCACAATATCTCCAGAAACCACCCTCAACTATCACGTGGCATTTCCTTCTAGAAAGTAATCCTACACTTCCCAAATGGGAAAATGGCAATTACTTACTAAATGTGATCAAAATAGATTTATTCCTACATTCATGTATTAAACATTATTGAATGCTTACACATACCTGGAACTATCCAGGGGAAAGAGGAAGGGCTGAAAATTTTTGTCTGCCTAGAACTTACATTCTAGTAA